CCATATCCTATACTCCGGTGGGGTGACAACATAGACCCGCAGTCGTTGATGTGAAGGTAGCTTCTTCTTTTTAAATCAGTCCTACTGTTGACAGGGGACGCGGGTGGCGCTGTGGTCTAAACCACAGAGCCTAGGGCTTGCCGGTCAGAAGGTCGGTGGTTCACAGCTCCTGCCCACCTAGCAGTTCGAAAGCACATCAAAGTGCAAGTAGATAAATAGGTACCATTCCACCGGGAAGGTAAACGGCGTTTCCGTGCACTGCTCTGGTTTGTCAGAAGCGGCTTAGTCATGCTGGCCACATGACCCAGAAGCTGTACGCCAGCTCCCTCGGCCAGTAAAGCGAGATGAGCACTGCAACCCCAGAGTCACCGCGACTGGACTTAATGGTCAGGGGTCCCTTTACCTTTACTGTTGACAGGGTTGTGTCCATTGATTGTAGGAACACAGCATAGATGGAGAACCTATGGTCCTCCAGATGTTGTTAGACTGCCGTGCCCATCAGCCCCTGCTGGCACGGCCAATGGTCAGGGCTGTTGGAGTCCAGCAACATCTGAAGGACCACGGGAACCTCATCCCTGGAATATAGGGCACCGGGCAATTGTACTGAGTCTCCATCCTGTTTTGGCCACTCCACAAGGGTATATTTGCCAGCGGAATAGCTCTGCTGGCAGAGTGAGTGCTCCGCCAGGATATTGGGGGAAGTTCTGTTGGCATACCTGCCGCAGCCGCAGCGTATCTGGTGTTCCTCCAGTAGAACAGGGCTCGACTAAATCCTAAACCCCCTCAGTCAGCGTTTTATTGGATTATGCACTCTAAAAGTCCCAAATAACCATGCACAAAGACAAAAGAATAGAAGAAATCATCACTAAAGCAGCTGTGGGGGAAGCTGCCATCTGGACAGTCACTGCTTGCTTCAAAAAAAGGGAAAGATGGAACGTTTTACAGAGGGGGAAAGATAAAGTAGCAGTAGAGAAGGAACGGAAAGAAAGCAATACATCACAGGGGGGATGAGGAATGTGCAAATGTAAAACCTGAAAGAAGTAGGCAAAGTTATTCTGCAGGCACCCTGTTATTTAATTTGCGCTCAAGGTAATACAGACTAAATCCAAACCCTGGTGTTACTCAGCCCAAGGTTAGTTAAGCCTTTAAGCTTCCAGCTTTTCCGTGCTAGGCTGAGACAAGACCCTCCAAGTGTACCTTTTTTCCAGGGTCAGACCCGGATTTACAGAAGCCACTCCGGTTTCTGATTTGATCCTGGAATGTCCCACTTTTCCTTAGGACGTCCCTATTTTCATCAGAGAAATGTTGGAGGTTATGATGTATGCTTTTGTTGAGATTCTTGCATTATAGGGGGTTGGACTAGATGGCACTCGAGGTCTCTTCCAACTCTACAATTCTGTGATTCTATGATTCTGTAGTGATCAGATGCTCTGTGATAGCGTATCCTGTCTTAAAGGGTCACACAGCTGTTGTGGCTAAGTTGTCAGTCCTTTGGACAGAACCTCCTGTGTTTTGCAGTGTGAGTAGCACAGTGCTGACATGAAACAGGCAGCGTGCAAGGATTTAAAGCATTCCTCTCCTCTCCCTCAAGGTGGTTTATAGACACAGTAAAACACTAAAAACGATAATGCTCCTAACATCAATATAAAGCAGGAAACAATAACATCTCAAACTCAGTCAATATCAACAGATGGCTCAGAGACAACCCCCCCCACTTGATTTAACTTACAGAGGCCTGTAAGAACAACTAGGCCTTACACTGCGATGTAGGCTGCTTTCTAAATGTACAAGGAGGCATACAACATGTAAAAAAAAAACCAACCCCAATGTTATGAGGTAGAATCTAGAGGCCTGTAAAAACAAACAGACCCAAGACTGCTTCACCCAGTTCAGTCAGAAAATCTGCTGGGCAAGAGGGAAGATGGTAGCATCAACCCTAGCTTATTGCTTCCTTGGCCTGACATCAGCGGCAGGCCCTCCTAGCCAGATCCCAGATTCAGGGGTTTCACGGTGATGGAGATGGGAGTCCTGTGGACTGTAGCAGGATCTCCCCTCCCTTGTTGTTGCAGCCTGTGGTGATCCTACAAGTGAATATCCAGGCAGGCCCATATCAATGACTCTCAGCTCACCCACCGAGTCTCTGTAATAGGGTTGCCAGACCTCCGGGGGTGACCTGAAGTCTTCAGGTTTGTCTAGTCTCCTCCAGGTAGCAGGTGGAAAAGATGGAATCTCCAAGTGGGCTAGAGTGACAACAACAACACAACAACTTGTGCAGCTTGCAAGCTTCAGCCTGGCAACATCTAACTGTAAATTACTGCATAGATCCTCATGCGGGGTCTGCCCTACTCTGCTCCCTTCACCCATCTCCCAATTAACCTCCGTCTCCAGGGCTCAGTGATGGGGGGGGGGGGAGTGTAGATAAAGAATTGCCAGGGCTCCCCTTGTGACATTATTCAGTACAGCTATTCAGTGATACATGCCAGATCAGCACTTCACTTCATGATTAAATTGTGGATGAGCGAGGTCTTGCTATGTTCTGCTCTGGCATTAAGCAGCACAATGAAGGCTGGTGGGCAAAGCAGAGGGCGAGTGACCAGGAGCCCAGCTGGGGGTGGGATGGGAGCAGAAATCTAGCTGAAACTGAAATGTGATGAAAAGAGACAAAAACATTATTAACTCTGCATGCTGGAAGCATGCTCAGATGGCATGACCTGGAAGCATGCTTGTTACATGGGTGTGTCACAAAACACCAAACCAGCCTCGGGCTTTCAATCATATCAATGGTGCAGTGGAATCAGTCTTTGGTATCCTGCCATTAATTCAGGAGCAGAGGTCAGCAAACTTTTTCAGCAGGGGGCCGGTCCACTGTCCCTCAGACCTTGTGGGGGGCTGGACTATATTTTGAAAAAAAATAAATAAATGAACGAATTCCTATGCCCCACAAATAACCCAGAGATGCATTTTAAATAAAAGGACACATTCTACTCATGTAAAAACACGCTGATTCCCAGACCATCCGTGGCCAGATTTAGAAGGTGATTGGGCCGGATCCGGCCCCCGGGCCTTAGTTCGCCTACCCATGTTCAGGAGGTTTAAAAAAAAGTTACTGTAGGCTAGAACTGCCTTAAGCTCCTTCTTTCCCAGTTGGCTTCTTGCCTTTACCTTATAGATTTCCCAGCAGTTTTTGTAGCAGCTTGTGAAACGTTATCAGCAGAGCTCCAGTTCATTTGGCAAAAAGAGAGAAAGAAGAAAACACCTTCTAGCTACCATCAGCTTTAGGCACCAGAGTGCCATCGGTTAGTTGAGTTTATTTATTTATTTAGGCAAACTATTTGGCAAAGTTGTTGAAGTTTTGAAGGCTGCCATATGCCCAGGTTCCCCCAGACATTTTAACTGATTTTCAATCATTCTGCCCAGACGTCATTTTCAACGGACAAATCCTGGCTATGTCTGGAAAATTCCAGACATATGGCAGCCCTCCCTAATACAGTCGTACCTCTGCTTACGTATCCCTCTAGATATGTAAACTTTGGGTTGTGAACGCGGCAAACCCAGAATCGTATATTTCTGGGTTTCACCGCGCACGCGTGCGCAGAAGCGCTCTGCGTGTCACGCATGTGCACAGAAGCACTCAATCGCGCCATGCACGTGTGCAGAAGGTGCCTCAAGTTACAAAGTTTTCAGGATGCGGTCGGGTCTCCGGAACAGATTCCGTTTGTAACCGGAGGTACCACTGTACTGAGTCTTTTAGACCTGTATTGTCTACTCTAACTGACAATCACTCTCCAGGGTCTTAGCCAGAGGAGTTTCCCAGCTACCTGAACATAATATGCTGTTTTAGGCATGATATACATCTGCTGATTTGGGCAGACGTTTGTACTAGAGGAGTGCATTTTTGAACCCAGAGAGTCCATCTGTGACGCTTTGTCGGGGACTGGCGCATTGCAGCAACTGTGTGCATGTGGTATTTGCCATGTGGAGCTCTGGCTGGGCTTGTTTGGCCTGTGGGCCACTGTTCCGTAGCCAATGAACTCCAGAGCACTTACGCTACTCCTCTGTACTAACCAGTTCTGGCAGTGCCACTTCTCATAAGATGTCACTGCTGCTTCTACTTGTCTTAACTTTGCAAAACCTATTGGCAGATCTTCAGACTCATCAGTTTTATAATTAAGTCAAGAGGGCTTTTTGGGAAAAGTAATGACAAAAATGTTTTGACTTTGATATGGTTCGCTTGAAAACAATGGGGGGCTGCACAGTAGACTAATATGAAGTCTATTTTTATTTTATTTTAAAAAAAGAAAACGGGTGGGGGGAGAGACTATAAAGGCAGAGAAGACTTGAGTAAGGCACCCTATTGCTTGCATTTCAGTTTAGAGAAAAAGAAGAGCAGGAGGCGACACGATACAAACTTATAAAATTTTGCGCGGCATGGGGAAAAGTTTTTCTCCCTCTCTCAGCTGAGTGTTGGAAGATTCAGGGCAGATAAAAGAAAGAACATTCTCATGCAACACATTGTGGGTTTTTTTTAGTTCCATTAATTTTATTCCGAGCTTGTCAAAAAGAGCTATTTTTTTTATCATAGTAACAATTTTATTTATAGACAGAACCACACACATTTACAATGAGAGCAAAAAAGCCACTCCCCGTGGAGAACCTGCAGGGAACCAACATCCCCCTCGTATAAGAATTCTTAGGTCTCAAATATAAATTAAATGTTCATAAATGTACACGGCAAAGACATACATAGGTATATAAACCACGTGTATTAAATAGTACAGGAGAGCAATCCTGAAGTCATTTTGACTCTCCCAAATTGACCTCAAATATTTCTCTGCAAGGAGAAAGGAAAGGAAAGCCTCCCCATCGTTTTTCATGAAACACATAGAGCCAGTGTGGTGTAGTGGTTAAGAGCGGCAGTCTCGTAATCTGGGGAACCGGGTTCGCGTCTCCGCTCCTCCACATGCAGCTGCTGGGTGACCTTGGGCCAGTCACACTTCTCTGAAGTCTCTCAGCCCCACTCACCTCACTTGTTGTGGGGGAGGAAGGGAAAGGAGAATGTTAGCCGCTTTGAGACTCCTTAAAGAAGAGTTTGGATTTGATATCCCACCTTTCACTCCCTTTAAGGAGTCTCAAAGCGGCTAACATTCTCCTTCCCTTCCTCCCCCACAACAAACACTCTGTGAGGTGAGTGGGGCTGAGAGACTTCAAAGAAGTGTGACTGGCCCAAGGTCACCCAGCAGCTGCATGTGGAGGAGCGGGGAAGCGAACCCGGTTCACCAGATTATGAGACTACCGCTCTTAACCACTACACCACACTGGCTTAAAGGGAGTGAAAGGTGGGATATCAAATCCAAACTCTTTTTCTTCTTCTTCTTCTTCTTCTTCTTCTTCTTCTAAACTATGGAACTCACTGCCACAGGAGCCAGTGATGGCCACCAACTTGGATGGCTTTGAAAGAGGATTAGACAAATTCATGGTTAGACAAATCCACGGTTTGAGGTAGCAATGCTTCTGAAGACCAGTTGCTGGAAAACACAAGAAGGTAGAGGGTTCTTGTGGTCTCCCACCAGCATGACCACTGCGAAAACAAGATGCTGGACTAGATGGGCCTGACCCAGCAGGCTCTTCTTATGTTCTTATGTACATAGTATACCTAGCCAGGAATATGGACTGTGCACGGAGTTTGAGTTTTTGCGGGTTTCTGGCACTAGGTAATAGTACCCTTTAGCTTCCCAAGGACTTACTTCTGAGTAGGCATGGTTAGGATTCTGTGATGTCCTACTGAAATCAAGGGGCTCAACGCTAAGTGAGTGGGTATTGCTTTGCAGTCTTAATCATATTAAAAACCTCCTCACTTAAGTCCCGGGACTGAGGGACTTGACGTCTTTCTGCAGGGCCTGCAAGACAGAGTTGTTCCGCCTGGTCTTGATTTATCAGCTACTTTTAAAATGAGGCTGCATTTTAAATTGCATTTTAACCTGTATTTTAAATTGTTTTTTTTTCTTTTTCCTTTTCCCCCTATTATGTTTTTACTGCGATTTTATTGGTGTTAGCTGCCCTGAGCCCGGCTCTGGCCGGGGAGGGTGGGGTATAAATAAAATTTATTATTATTATTATTATTAAGTGTACATTACAGTGATACCTCTGGTAAAAACTTAATTCGTTCCAGAGGTCCATTCTTAAGCTGAAACCGTTCTTATCCTGAGGCGCGCTTTCGCTAATGGCGCCTCCCATGCGCACACTCCTCTGGTGCACGACTTCCGCTTGCATCCTGGGGCAAAGTTCACAACCAGGAGCAACTACTTCCGGGTTAGCAGAGCTCGTAATCTGAAGTGTGTGTAACCAGAAGCGTTCGTAACCAGAGGTGCCACTGTACACAACACACATCCCTTTGTCCCATACTTGTAAGCTGTTCTGTGTGTCAGAGGATTAGACTAGCTGTCTGGCTAGGTAGGAGCTGGAATCTGCTTCCCCTCCCCATTTAAACACTATGATTACTTTAAATTATGCAAATTTCAGTAATATGAGATTGGCATGCTTGGCTAGTATTTAAATAGCCCGGAGGCCTAGCTAAAAATAGAACACCATAAGGTAAGCAAATAAAGCTTGTTCACCCCTTCACATTCAAGACACATCCTTGACAGCGTAGAGAAATAGATAGTGAAGAGTGATCCCACTATAACCAGTGTCTGCCTCATTATAAATGAATTAATTAATTAAGCATCCATGGCTGCCCACCAAGAACATTCTCTAGGCGGTTTACAAAGCAGAAACAAGCATTGCACAACGTTTAAAAATGCAGTAATTAAAACCACAAAAATCCATTAAAAAAAGCACAAACCAACAGAAACCTTTCCTTGTAACAGAGAGAGAGAGAAAGAATAAAACAACAAACTACAAATGGGCTTCCTCCTACAAGAGGCAGGACCGGGCAAATTTCTGGAGGATGAAATTAATTTGAATGCAGTATTGATCTGGACGCATTATGGATGCACCGGAAGTGAGCCATCTGTACATGTAATTCAGTTCATTTCCCGCAGGAAATTAATTTGTGATGTACACAAAAACTGTCATGCATGCCTGGGCGCTGTCCCCAGATAATTGCAGGGACAGCAGCTTGTGATCTGCAAGGCGTAGAGGGAAGAATGACAGTCAGATGGCTGCAGAGATCTACGCGGACAACAGGAAAACAATAGGCATTACTTAACAGGAGGTTTGGCCCTGTGCTTGTTTTTCCAGAGTTAGCAGCCTCTGATTACAATTACACCTTGCGTAGTATTAAGTAATCTTTTTGTCAGCCTAGTCAAACCTTAAGCATTCCCCGTTGCAAAAACACAGGGAGAGAGGGAAAAATAGCCATTTGTTGCATTAGCGGCACATCGTATTAAAAGTTTCATGAGGTTTTTTAGTATGCAGGAGCCGTATACATGCTCATCAGCCACATTAGCACAATGGCTCTTTTGGAGCCATTATGGTTGATCGTGCCAATGATCCATGGATTATGTACTTTTATAGGGTCTGATGCACTTGCAAACAAAGGAAGGGCTTCTTCTTCTTTGCATTCCAGCCTTCTCCCGAGACTCCGAGCCCCCTTTCAGCTAATGAAAAGCAGCCAAGAAACTAACAAACGGAAGGCTATCCTAACTCACCAACCTAATTGTAGTCATAGTGCATCAATGTAAAAAAGTAAAGGACCCCTGACAGTTAAGTCCAGTTGCAGGCGACTCAGGGGTTGCAGCACTCATCTCGCTTTACAGGCCAAGGGAGTCAGCGTTTGACCGCAGACAGTTTTTCCGGGTCATGTGGCCAGCATGACTAAGCCACTTCTGGCGCAAGGGAACACCGAAACCAGAGCAGCACACGGAAATGCCGTTTACCTTCCCGCTGGAGTGGTACCTATTTATCTACTTGCACTTTTTGGCGTGCTTTCGAACTGCTAGGTTGGCAGGAGCAGGGACCGAGCAACGGGAGCTCACCACTTCGCGGGGATTTGAACCGCTGACCTTCTGATCGGCAAGCCCAAGAGGCTCAGTGGTTTACTGAGCCACCCACGTCCTTTAAGTGCATCAGTGTAGCCTACTGTAAAAAGGGAATAGTCATATCCATCGCACATCACACTTTTGCCTTTGGTCCTCCTGTCTGTCACTGGCCTGTGTCCCTCTGCGAAAGGTTCCTCATAAGGAAATACAGCTCTCAGGTGAAAAAGCTTCCACGCCCCTGGCTCAGTGGGTACTATGGTCCTCTTCAGTAACCCTGAAGCAGAATCCCTTGCAGTTGCGCTCTAAAGTAAGTCCCACTGAATTTAATGGAGCTCTTACTCCTAGATAAGCGGCTGTAAGATTGCAATCTTAAGCAGTCAGTCCCCCCCCCCCCCGGAGTCTCAAAAAGAAATTATCATTCAGAATGGCACCACCATTTTATTCAGTCTAGCATCCTATTTCACTGACAAGATACCATACAGGTGTTTTGGACTACAATTCCCATCATACCACTGGACATGAGGGCTGGTGTTAATTTAGTCCCACAGTAACTAGAGACTTGGAAACTTGGTGGGGGGGGAATTGACCGCTTAAGGTTAACATGTTCAGGATGCAAGAAACTGGCCAATTAAAAGGTTTTGTATTTTTTTTAAGAGAGAGAGAGAGATGCAATTTTTGATATTCACTTTATTAATTAACCATGGGATCAAACTCTTACCCTTACCTGATTGCAGGTGCCCAGACTTTCCCACCTGTTGGACAACCATAAGAGCATGAGGGAGGCACCATGTGGTTTCTGATAAGCTAGGGCAGTGTTTCCCAACCTTGGGCCTCCAGCTGTTTTCAAACTACAATTCCCATCATCCCTGACCACTGGTCTTGCTAGCTGAGGATTATGGGAGTTGTAGTCCAAAAACAGCTGGAGGCCCAAGGTTGGGAAATGCTGAGCTAGGATACATGCTGAAACACACGGCCTTCAGAAATTGTAGCTCAATGGTAGAGCTCATGTTTCGTAGGCAGAAGCTAGTAGTGGCTTATAAAGCCCTAAATGATTTGGGGACTAGGAATCTGAAGGGACATCTCTTACTGTACGAGCCTCCTGCCCAGGTTCTTGGCTGTGGGGGTCCCTTCTCATTGTCCCACCATCAGTGAAGTACATTTGGTGTAGACATGGGATAGAGGCTTCTTAGTGGTGGTGCCCTGATTATAGCATACCCTCCCACCGGAAGTACAACTGGCACCAACATTGCTGGTACTTTGTTTTGTGGCTAAAATCTACTTGCTCAGACATTTATGGGATGCTAGCCTGCTACTGCAATTGGTTATTTTACTTGTACAGTGGTGCCCCGCAAGACGAATGCCTCGCAAGACGGAAAAACCGCTAGACGAAAGGGTTTTCCGTTTTGAAGTTGCTTCGCAGGACGAATTCCCCTATGGGCTTGCTTCGCAAGACGAAAATACCTTGCGAGTCTTGAGATTTTTTTCGCTTTTCCCCCTTTATCTAATCTGCTAAGCCTTTAATAGCCTTTAATAGCCTTTTAGCAGCTAATCCCCTAAGCCTTTAAGCCTTTAATAGCCGCTAAACAGCTGATAGCGCTAATAGCGCTAATCCGTCAATGGGCTTGCTTCGCAAGACGAAAAAACCGCTAGACGAAGACTCTTGCGGAACGGATTAATTTCGTCTTGCGAGGCACCACTGTATCTGATCACGTTTATTATTATTATATTATTTATATACTGCCCTTCATTTGAAGATCACATAAAAACACAAAATAAAAACAATATATAAATACTTAACCTAATAGCTACACACACACACACACACACACACACACACACACACACACACAAACCACAGTTAAAAGGTCAGATTTTTTTTTTAAAATCAGCTCAAGGCCCAGTTGAAGAGGAATATTTTTGCCTGGCGCCTAAAGAAGGTGCCAGGTGAGCCTCGCTGGGGAGAGTATTCCACAAATGGGGAGCCACTACAGAAAAGGCCCATTCTCATGTTGCCACCCTCTGAACCACTCGCAGAGGAGGCACATAAGAGTTTTGCTGGAGTTTTGTTGTTTTAAAATAATATTGCAACCTACCCTGGGCTCATTTGATGAAGGTTGGGTTTAAAATGTTCTTAATAATAAAATAATAAATTAGTAGGGACGCGGGTGGCGCTGTGGTCTAAACCAGTGTTTCCCAACCTTGGGCCTCCAGCTGTTTTCGAACTACA